AATGTCAATTTTGTCTCGACCCCTTCTGATTTGAATGAAACATTGCTCACGTGTTCGCTGCTACTAATGGTTGCATTTTTCATTTAAATATGATTTTTTCCTCCAGAGTAACTTTTGAAAAGGGCGTATAAAAAATGGATTATTTTTTTTCCAAAAAATCATAACTTGAAAACTATTGATCTGATCAAAACGGCATATGAGAAGAAGTTTTAGGTAATTAAATTATCTTTGCGGAAAAAATACACTGAAAGAAAAAACTTCGTAAATTAGTATTAAAAAAACGTAAAACGATGATTATCTCAAAACACCCCCCCTTCGATCTTTATAATTTTTTTTTTGAAGAAAATTGATGGAATACCCTTAAATTTCGTGAAAAGTGTATGCTGGTAACTTTCTTAAAAAGAAAGCTATAATTTTTTAAATTTTTGTTGATTTTTACAAGTTCATGAAAATGCATATTTTTTATAAAATAATAATTTATTTGGATTCTACGCATAATTTTCAATAACTTTGCATATAAAAACTTTTTTCCTAAGTCCAGCCGTTCTCAAGTTAATGCGAATTAAAAAAATATAATTATAACAATTTTCAATATATTAGGCCATTTTCAAATGTTCGTCGAGATGTCCAACAACGAGATTTTATTTCATGATTGTATATTAAAAACCAAACAATTCATTCTCAGATATGGTAGCTGTCAGACTTACCCGTTTCTATCTAGAGGCAGCGGAAGAGAAGCACGTTGATGTGGTCAAATGAAAGATTTGTTGAGATAAGAAACAGTATATATTTATTATTTTATTTTACAACTCATATTATTTGAATACATTGAATAATTTGGGTGTATCGTTTGAATTAGAGAATTTTTTACTGCAATTTGGTTGTTTGAAACTGGAATATAGCAATGGTATTTTCGAGTTCCAGGAATTGGTTTCACTTTCTTAAAAATTGGATCAAATTCCGTGTCAGCCTTTTTGTATTCTTCCGTAGAAACATAACAAAATGACATTTTTGTTTGAAGATCTTCTTTACGACTATTTGCCCAGTCGTACAGTTGTTTAGGGTTCGTTATAGGGTGCTCGTGTTACTTAACTAAACTTGCTCTGGTTGCCATTCTCTTAAGGGTACCGCCAATCGCATCACAAGGACCTTTGCCGTGTGAAGTTGCAAAAAATGCCATTCCATTTCTACATTATGCTTATCTTTAAATCCACAAAGGCTAGCAACATTTTTTATGTTTTTGTATTGTGATGCTGCTTTATCTAACACAAAAATACACTTTTGGACTGTTATTTGCGACTTTAAAAATTCTAATAATTTTGAGATAAACAACTGAACTGCTACTGTGTCATGCTTTGAAATTGATTTAGGTAGAGGTTAACAACACTTGAAGTTGTTATCCATCGTAAAAAACTACTTGCTTTTTAACTTGAAACGCTAAGAGAGATGAACTGAATGGAACAGGTGAAGAACTTGACTTAAATGATCTTTATTTCTTGTATTGTGTGGTTTACATGTATAACTTATCAAGTGACACAGATGCGTCTTTTCAACTTTAGTTCCTTTTCAATTAAAATTATTATTAATTACAGTTCCTAGTCCTATCAGGCCTGTTTTAAGAATGACCACCTTGGTGGGATTGGTTTGTTTAAAATTTGAAAAAAGGAGACTACTTATAACTACTATTAACAACTACAACTAACCTACAACTACTATATACATGTTCTGAAAAAATACATTTTTGTGCAAATTTAGTCTTAATTTCGTTAATTCGGGAATCTATTTTGGCAATGCCTGCCTCTTCATGTAAATTTGTTATTCTAGTGTCGAAAGGACGATCAAGAACCATCCTCAGCACTCTATTCTGAGTGATTTGGATTTTGTTCCTGTGAGTCTGTGCACATGATTCCCACAGGGGAGCTGCATAGAGGATCGCAGGTGCTATGATTTGTTTGTAGACAGCCAGTTTGTTCACCCTTGAGAGGCGGGATCTGCGGCAAATCAGCGGATACAGAACAGGTGAAGAACGTCCCAATATATATATATATATATGTAGCAGAATAATTACAATGTTGACATTATACCTATCTTCATTAGGTACAATTGATTATAGCAAACTTTTTTAAGTGTGAGTGTAAGAAGCCTCCACGGGGTGCCTTTTTATGTAGTTGTGATATCGCGGGATGAGCTCTTAAGGCACAATATGGTATACGTCAGAGAAGTACCTAGAGAATTTATCTCAATTACAGGTTTAATAACATATTTGTTTACCTGTTTATGTTTTGAGCCTCTGTTATGACATACACAATTCTATCCAGGTATACAACTAATAGAGGACAGAAAAAAGGCACATGAGTGGGTTTGTTGATTATTTGGTTATATTTGAGAGTATTTACTTATAAACTTGTTTCTTTTCTGCTGCGTCTAAATAGAAACGGGGAAGTCTGACAGCTACCAATTGAGAATGAATTGTTTGTTTTTTAATATATATTCATGGAAAGACATCTCGTTGCTGGACATCACGACTTACATTTGAAAATGGCCCAAAATGTAGAAAATTATTATAATTATTTTTTTAAATTGCATTAACTTGAGAACGGCTAGACTTAGGAAAAAAGTTTTTATATGCAAAGTTTTTGAAAATTATGCGTAGAATCCAAATAAATTACTATTTTACTAAAAAATATGCAATTTCACCAACTTGTAAAAACCAACAAAAATTTCAAAAATTATAGATTTTTTTTTAAGAAAGTTACCAGCATAAACTCTTCACCATATATTAGGGCATTTTTTCAGTTTTCTTGAAAAAAAAAATTATAAAGAGATCGAAGGGGGGGTGTTTTGAGATAATCATCGTTTTACGTTTTTTAAATACTAATTTACTAAGTTTTTCTTTCAGTGTTTTTTTTTCCGCAAAGATAATTTAACTACCTAAAACTTCTTCTGATATGTCATTTTGATCAGATCAATAATTTTCAAGTTATGATTTTTTGAAAAAAAAATAATCCATTTTTTTATACGCCGTTTTCAAAAGTTACTCTGGAGGAAAAAATCATATTTAAATGAAAAATGCAACCATTAGTAGCAGCGAACACGTGAGAAATGTTTCATTCAAATCGGAAACACTCATGACCAACCGGTTTGCGTTTTGGGCTGGAAATGCTCGATACGGATTAGGCATTCGGTACGAATGATGGTATGCTGCTAGCTGTTCAAGGTGTTTGGATGGTTGGTAGTTTGTAATCGTTTGGTCACAAGTTCATAGGTTTTTTTTTCATTTATGTTATATATTCAGAACCTTCACGTTTCTTGTGCAAGAACAGCAGTGTACCACAGAAATGATAGGGTTCTGTACCGCTGTGAAAATGTTGTGCCGTTACGTTATGTCCACCATAGAACTACAAACAACCATACAAAACTAGGATGACGGGATGAAGGAGAATTGCACAGCACATCACAGCACACGACCGGCTCGTGACATTGGAAACAGTTTTCGAACCTAATTGTCAAGGACCAAACACTATTATCTGGCCAAACCTAGGCCATAATCCCAAAGGAGTTTTCCCTTCTCGGCTTGACCAAGGTGGCCTTGCCAAAAAGTAACGAATAAATGCATTTAAAGAAAAGTGACAGTTCTTCGTTCTGGTATCGCGAAACCTTCTGATTACCCAGTAGCTAGGCGACCCTGGGTGTTCCGGAGCTTGCTCTTGTCGCCTGAGTCGACCGGGTGCTGTATGTTTGATCTCCGAGTAGGTAGTTGGTGAGTGCTGAGTTCTTACATCAGTTATAAGCTTATAGCGAATTTGTTTATTATCCAGGTTGGAACCAGTTCTAACCCGTGCAAACCCGAGCTTATTGTCAGTGCGAACCTCAACCCGAACCAGGTTTCAAAAATAAAACGTTGACACTGACATTTGAAAGGCAACAAGCAGACCCAATCTTGATACCCGACCCAGGTTAGAACTTAATCAAAAACAAATCGACAGCGAGCATGCATAAGGGCGTATACGCGATGATCGATTCTCTTCAGCTACAGCTAAGCGAAACAATTTTCTAAAATTTGTTCAATATAGAGCTGTAACAGGTTGTATTGGCTATCAAAAGCAACAGCAAAGGCACAGAGAAACGTTAATTCTAGCGAGTTATTAACAAAAAAGAAAATAGACGAAGAGAATCGATCATCGCGTTTACGCCCTTATGTATACTCACTGTCGAAATTCGTTATCAGTTCAGCAAGAAGCAGACAACTGTAACGCCGTCCAGGATCTTGATAGGTTCTATCTGCAGAGATGCGGATGCTACATGATCACGAACAAAATGATATGAGGGGGTTAGAAGGAAAGGGGTTTAAGTGACTTTGATCGATTCTCTTAATCGACTTTCTCTTTCGTTAATAATTCAGCTGCAAACACATTCCTTGTGTTGCAATGTGTTTGCAGCTGAATTATTATCGAAAGAGAGAGTCGATGAACTTTTTTTTCCCAGTGACATCAATTGTTACAATCATTCTTTTCAAACATTTAGCTCTCTATAATCTATTTGGCACCCAGGAAAACCGGAAAAAAACGTTAATTAAATTTCTTAAATTCAGTGGCAACCCTGCTGATGATCCGGCACCACCAATTTCTCACCATGCAAGATATAACTTCAAAATAAGGGTAAACACTAATTAAATAATTACTTTTAATTCTTCCTATCATAAGCTCTTCTTTCTTATTCTGTTGAAGTGCGACCAGGAGGCAATATAACTATTTTTTTCGGTTTAAGTAGGGGTTTTCCACATTTATGTCAAATGTCAATTATGCCAAATGGTATTATGTCAAATTGGGTAGAGCCCTGTCATCAATAGCCATCGCTAGCTTCACATCATTCCTATGCAATATACTTTGATTAGAAATCATCTTCGGTTTCCCCACCAGCTCACCCCTTGACACGCCACTGTCGAATAACAAGCCGCAACTTATTTTGAATTTTTCTGCTTCCAATTTTTCTCCTTACAGAGAAAGCGAAGATCTGCAGCGCAAACGAGCCAACGGGTTGGAGGAGGTTGTTTCGCGATTGGAGAAGATTATCGATCAGTTCAAGACGGGCAACCCGGTGGGCGCACGCGGCACGACAGACGGTACGTCTTCGCTTCTGGAACGGCAGAACGAACGGCTCGAGGACAAGTTAAGTACTATTCGGGAACAGTCGATCTTGGACAAACAGTCGGCCCGGACGGCCAATTTGTCGCTGTGGAAGTTGGAGAAGGAACTGGAGAAGGTCAAGTTAGATAATTCCATTCTGGGACGAAGGGTCGAGCAGGCCGACGAACGGGTCAACCGGGTAAGGAAGGAGAAAGAGGGAGTAGAATTCAAGATTAATCAGCTGCACGAAACCATTGCCGGAAAGGAGAAGCAGATCGAAGATTTGAAAGAGGACATAAGGTTGCTAAAGGATGAATTGAGAAAGGAGCGTTATTCAAGAGATACGACCGAAAAGGGACGACTGACCGAGAAGACTGAGCTGATTACTGCTTCAGCGAAGATCCAGAGTTTGGAGGAGAAGTTGAATGAGGCGAAACAGAAGGCAAACCAAGCAAATGACAATTTGAGAATGATGACATCGGAAAATTCGAAGCTCATGAGGGAGTTGGGCGAAAGCCAAGAAGAACTGGCGGATGCTGATGCTTCGGTTAAGGAGCTTGATGAGAAGCTCGCAATCGTGACGCGGAATTTCAACATGTTGAAGGGAGCTTGCAGTATTACGGAGACTCAACTGACAGAGTTGGAGATTCTGCTGGAGAAGGAGCAGAAAAGAAATAAGGAATACCAGGAGAAGATCGACGGCTTGTTCAAGCAGATGAAGGAAAAGGATACGGAGCTGTCCAAATTGAGACAGGAAGTGCATCAGGAGAAGTCATCTAAAACGTTGAGTGAATGTAAAACTTCTCAGCTGGCATCGGAATACGATGAATTACGCAAGAAGTTTGAAGATCTGCAAAACCAAATGGTCGATCAGCAGAAGGACCTTATCGAGAAGACCAGCAGCCTCTTTGAGGTACAAGAACGCATTGAAATGCTCAATCTGGACGCATCCAATCTTCAGAAGGTGGTTTCCAATTACGAGCAGGAGCATCTGATACTGAAGGAGGAAAATTCCAAAATTCTCACCGATCTGTTCTTGGCTAAGGAACACATTACCAAACAGAACAACGAGATTAAAGACTACAAGAATCAAATCAACCAGCTGAACAATGAACTTGATCACGTCAAGACGGTTCTAGCGGAGCAAAAAACGTTCTATTCCGAGAGGGACATTAAATCGGAAGCCACTCTTGCTCAGCACAAGAAGCTCATCGATTATCTGCAAGCTCGCGTTGAGGAAAGTTCGCATAAAAAGAAAAAGACCTTCGCCGATATGCTCTTCGGAAGTGGCGGCAACCATGAAAAGAAAGAGAATGTTCCACCAAATCCCATCATGGTGGAGAATACCACCAGCTACAAGAAGATCCAGGAAGAACTGCAGAAAGAACGTCAACGTACTAACCAGCTCAAAGAACAACTGCTCCGAGCGAAAACGGACATGATTGCCATGCAAGGATCACTTAAGAAAGCCCAAAAAGACGAAGAAAATCAACAGCTGGAAGCCAAGGACAAGTATCTCCCGGAGAGAACTCCTTCAAAATTGCACAAGCCTTCTTTCCGGCAAGAATTAGCTCCAACCCCGAAAAATCTCGGCCCTCCCGGGGGTAAATCGCACACCTTCGACATGACATTGGAAACATCCTCGTCCAAAAATCCCATCCAGTTGTGTAGCGTTTGCGATCGGCACATCCTAGCCGGGCACCCTTACTGGAAGTGTACAGTTTGTGCGAAGAACGTCCACCGGAAGTGTCGATCGGGGGCAGCTTACGATTGCCAGGGCGATGGTGATTTGGATTCGCTTGCCAATGAGCTGGTAGCGGGTGGTATTAGCGATACAGAGTCCCTGCAGGATCAGATCAGCTTGGCACCGGACGGATCGGAGGCGGAATCGGGCGACGGCCCGGTCAGCAGCGTGGAGGAGAAGGCCGACGACGACGAGGACAAATATGTCGGGGACTTGCTGTTCAAGACGAAACGGGTGGAACCGAAGCTGGCCATTAACGATGTGTACGACGTGAGCGAGAGCGTGGTGCTGTTGGGTAAGTTTTTTTTGCTGGTTTCACTTTCGGTGTGTGATTTGATAATCGATAAAATGTGGGTCATTATATTGGGGATGGGGGAGCAAAACAAAGAAATGGATAATGAGCTGAAGCATTGGAAAAGTCGACGTTGTGCGAGTGACGATGGAAATTCCTTTAGGAAAGTTTTCGGCAGGTTTTTGCTTTTTAAAATTTAGATAAAAATGCTGTGTGCACATATGAAGCACGGTGGTAGCTTTAGCTATCCGTCATCATAATCGTTGCATCTTCTGAATCCAGAATAGGAAATAAATCACCGTTGAACGGATCTATTGTATCGCCAGCTCTAAGCTAAAGTTCGCAAGTCTGACTTTCGACTGCCGAACCTGCTTCCGATCTTAATTCCGGCTTTTACGGAATCATAATTTTAAGATTGTTGTTGTTGTTATTGTTGGTACTGTCAGTAGTTCTTATGCATTGATACCAGTTGCGTGGGAAGTAATCAGCGGAATAATTTGTAACTAAATGCAACTTTGTGGGTGTAAAGTCTTCGTCTACTTAAGCATCTTTGCATGCTTGATTCTCTTTAAAAATGCTCAGGGTTCAGATTTAATTTCGAATGATTTTGAACAAAAAATTGAATGTTTCTATAAAAGAAGACTTCTACATTCATTTACCTTTTCATAAGTACCTACCGTAAGATTTGATAAAGAGTCACAAATAAGCTTTGTATAATGAGAGGTTAAAACTATTGCTGCACCGAATATTCGGCCGCCATAGAGTATTCGGCCGAATAAAAAATAATAATCAACATCTAAAATGGCCTAATTTTTGTAAAAATGTTAATGATTGCCTATAACACAATTATTCAAAGTTTTATGCAAATCGGAGAGATAGTCGAGATTTGCCGATTCATCATTTGGCGTGGAACTGCTCTAAAGTCACTTTTTCATATAATTAAAGCATGGTCCACTTAGTAACGAAACAACATCGTTTGGGTCTATTTCGGATTTGAATTAACGGATTTGAACACTCAAGTGCATATTATTCCTTATGTTTTAAGAAAAAAATACGAAACGAATTATTCGTCGTGGTTTCGAAGGAATTCTCGAACTTTTCCCTTAATACGACCAATCAAGCGGCGCATAACGGTCTCGTGCACTGTTTTGGCGATATCCCACTAATTTTTCATCTTAGCTGCCGTTTTGATTACTGTACCTTTTACCTTCAGTTTCCTCTTCAAAAATTGCCCAATAGTTTTCAAAAGGGCTGAACTGGGGACAATTGGGCAGATTGAGGATTTTCGGAACAAACTGGACTCCGTTGTCATTGCACCATTGTTGTACTTCCTGGCTGTAGTGATTCGCAAGATCCGGCCAAAATGTAAGTGGTCTGGTTTCAGCGAGAATTGCTCCATATGATTGACCCGAAAACGTCAGAAGCAGCAGGGAATTATGAACATATGTCAGTAAATTTGCCGGAACATTAAACATGCTTTGAAAACTTCAGGGATGTCCAAATAAGTTCAGGAAAAAAAATAGTGATTTAAGGCGTTTATAAACATTATAACACTTTTGAAAAATTGTGGAAACTTTAAGGCAATTCAGTTAATTTCAGTAAAATTGCGGGTTCTTATAAAAAATACTGAGAAATTCAGGGCAGTCTAGAGAACTTTAAGGACATTCAGAAATCATTTGGGCAGTTTTAATAACATCAGGAAAGTCTAGACTATTGATGAACTTATGAAATATTGTCGATTATTTAAGGCCAGTTCTATGAACGTTTTAATTAAAAAAAAAATGTGGTAGTTTAAAGAAGTTAAAGAAACTTCTGAAAAAAAAACTTCGAAAACTTCAGTAAATTTCATGAACATTTTGCAAAATGCAGGACCATTACAAAGAAGTTTAGTAAGCCCAGGAATTCCAGTGAGAGTTGACGGAAAATTTTAAGAAGTTCCCAGATTTTTGGAAAATTTCAGAGATATTATGAAAATTATTGAGGTCTTCACCTAACTTCAGAAGTTCGCGTAAGCTTAAACGTTTTCAGGGCAGTTCAATGAAATTCAGGGCAGTACAACAAGCTTCATGAGAACTACAAAAACTTAAGAGAAGCTACGAGAACTTCAAGAAAGAACAGATAACCTCAGAGTAGTTCTGTTAACAGTAAATAAATCACATAAATTTAAAAGAAGTTTCGAGAGCTTATCAGTGAATTGTTAAAACTTTGGAGAAGATCCTTGATCATTAGGAAAATTGAGGAAACGTTAGGAAGTCCGAAAAGCTCAAGGAAGTTTAAAAATTTAACGGGAAGTATTGTAAGCATCATGCTAGTTTCTCAAACTACAAAAGAACTTGAAGGTAGTTTCATTAACATCTGGAAAATTGAGGGAACCTTCAAGTAGATCTGAAAATCTCAGAATAGTCAGAAAAACGTTCCAAGTGAATTTCTGTCATCGTGATTGTGTAGTATAGAAGGGGGTCAAGGGCCAGGTCACCGATGGTTTTAGGCACCGTACATGCTATACCAGTAGACAGGGGATGGCATCACAGCATCTTTACCAGCAGGTTAAATAAGTTTTGTGTAATCCACCAGAATGTGAAACAGGGCGAGCCGGTAGGGTAACGTATCGGCAATACCCTATCTCAACATTAATGAATTAGCTACCATAAGGGAAGAGACAAGGGAGGGGGTCGATTCGCAAATCGGAGAAAGTCGAGTTTAACCGATTCGTCATTTGACATGGATTCACTTTTTTATACTATTTGGCCTGGAACTGGTCTAGGGAATTTCCAACACTGATTCAAACATTCTGAAAAAAAATCTTGAAAATGATGATGAGAATCCCGAAGTAGTAATGTTGGAGAAAATTCTGAGAATGCTTTTGGGATTTTTTTTTCCTTTGTTCGGGACATAACACTACTGCGACCAGTAAATTGTTCTATTGTAGTATATCCCGTGTCCTTAGTTTAGTGCAGGTCGTATTACTCCATCACTATTGATAAATAATGAAGTATTCGATTTTTTAACAGTTGTCATTCTTGCATTTATCGCAATATACCCTTCGGAGTGCTGGAACACCCTCCAAAGGCGCGCCCCTTTGTCAGTCAAAATTGGATTCCTTAGCAACAAAATTAAAGAATGACACCGATAGTGACCATGCATCAGAACCCTAGTATTAACCACTTCAAACTAGGGAACAACGAATAGAAGATTAGGAATCACATAGATGAAGACAACTAACTCATTTTTTCCTTGTTTCAAGATCATCCTCGGTAGACAAACCCGAGTCTTGTCACTATCAACAAGGCATAAAAAGTAACAAGGACTACTCTGCCGTTCTACGCATAACTGTCCCATGTTCTATGCAATCCTTATGCACCGTGGGACTCTTATGCGTATAACGGCAGTACTGGATTACTGAAAAATCCTGTTCCCCTAGTTTGAAGTAGTCAGGACTAGGAATCGGTGGTAGATCTTACATCCCGTAACGTACCACGAAAAGGTGATCTACCCACGCTACGGGGCATGCTTTTGGGATAATTTCAAAGCAAGTTCTTATTTAATTAAATTCCAAGGGAATTGTGAGGAGAACTGCATGTTTAATTACAATATAGCTCTGGAAAAAAATCCAAAGTTATGCTCCGGAGAATTCGGTGTCGATTGTGAGATGGTGTGAGTATTTTTTAAGAAGGAATTCGATGGGAATAATTTCAAAGAATTGCTGAGAAGAATGCCAAGAGAATTTCCAATTCCAAGAAAATTGAATTATTAAGAGAGTTCTCAAAGAATTTTGAGGAAAAATGCCGAGGCAATTTCGGGAAGAGTTTCAAGGGAAATTTGAAGAAAACTTCATGTTATTCCTGGAATTACTGAAATGTGGACAATTCAATTCAAATTTTAAGGAGTATTCTGAACAGACTTTCAAGATTTTCTTTAGCGGTGTTGAGGTAAAGCTTGGCAAGATGGTTCAGCTAGTACATTTATTCATTTATTTGTTTGTAAATATCAAACCGGTTCAGCAGCCCTTATGATGGTTTGTGTTTTCAAACCAGCATTGAGTTTACATTGAGCCTGTTCATGTTGACAATCAAACATATAAGTAAATCATGTAGATGAGCCATCTTGCCCCGAGACCGATCTCGCCCCACCTTACTCTAAATTCGTAATCCAATTAAAAAAATGGTTTCCTTTGAAAATAATTCTAGATAGAGCTGTAATTAGTTAGTAACAGCTTTTGTAAACAATGACTTCTTTCGATGATTTCTAGAAAGCCAAGGCTTGCCCACTCAAATCAACGTCACCATCGGATAGAGGAAGACTTCCCCTTCCCGTTGGTTATGTTGTTTGTCGTGGGCGTGCCTTTAGTTTCGAGAAATCATCGAGAGATTTCATTGTTTACAAAAGCTGTTACGCCCTAATTCCAGCTCTATCAAGAATTGTTCAACCCTTGAAGATTCTGAACCTACTAAAAAGAACCATTCCAATTTTCGCCTCTTACAGGTTGCGACACCGGTCTCTTCTCCTACAACGCAGATACGGAGGAACTGGTCCAGATCCGAGGCATATCCAACGTGAAGTCCTTCACCATCTCCCAGCACATCCCGAAGGCTATCATCATCGGAAACGACGGTGAGTACCTGTACCAGTGCGACCTGCGCCACCTGCACAGCCGTGCCCAAGCCTCATCTTGCCTTTCGCCCAAGCTGGAAACCTTTGTCCTGGATCTATCGATTGCCAACCGGACCCACAGTGAACGGTGGCATTTGGTTCGCATGATGGACGACCCCTCGTGCCAACAGCTGTCGGACGTGATAGCAATCGCCGCGACTTCATCGAGAATTGTCATCCTGAAGTTCGACACCACCCTGGGACGGTTCAAACCGGTTCGCGGATTGGACACGGTCCTTCCAGTTTCATCAGTGCTCTTCACCAAACACACCGGCATTGTAAGTTCGGACAAGTTCTTCGAAATCGATTTGGCAACCTACGGTGCCGAAGAGTTCCTGGATATGTCCGACTCGAGTCTACGGGATATCCGTTCATGCACACCGATGGCGGCCTTCAAGGTAAACAGCCAAGAGTTCATGCTTTGTTTCAAAGAAGTTGGAATTTTCGTGGACGAATATGGCTGCCGTTCACGGCCGGATAATATCAATTGGCTACAGGAACCCCTTGATTTCAAATACCGCGAATCTTGCCTCTTCATTGCGCATTCCGATTGCGTTCAAGTTATGTACGTTAGCAAATCGTACACCAAAGAGATTGAACGAAAAGAGTCGCTCGATGAGCGGCGAGCTTTTGTCAATTTGAACTCACCGCGGCTGATGGCATTCTTGGACTTTGCCCGCACCAGCATCTACGTGGCTTGCGAGTGTGGCCCGGGGAAGGAGCAGGAGATCATCATGCTGGATGGATACAAAGCACTGCAGACGACATCGCCGTGCATTAGCAATTCCATGGAAACTTTGTCCAGTTTGGCGAGCTACCCGACGACGGTGACCCAGAGCAATGAGACACTATCGCTGGGACATGCGGTGTAAGTACTTTCGAATAACCTTTGTTTTACCTAGAACCTAGGTCGTTTAACTAACGGAAATTCGCATGAAAACGATTGTTTGAGTTTCATGCCACAGGAAATATGTTTTTCTTCTTAAATAAACATTTTATCATTTTAAGATATTTAATCCTGCTGGTGCTAGTTCACTGAATCCGAAATCTCCACGTTTTAGTAGAATTTTCAATTCCACCTTGTTATGAATTTCACCGAACCTCGTAGAAGAGCAGATCACCCATCTCAAAGTCTTCAGGCTCATTCCAAACACTCTTACTGGTCTTACTTTGTAGCTGCACCTTTTTTATTCCGTGTTGGGTAATTCATATTTCGTGGTGAACTAGTCCAGGAGTGACTAAAAATCATCCTAATAAAGTATTAAAAAAAAATCTCATGAAAGTCATCTTCGAGAGACTGTTGAAGCATTATTCGACGCCTTTTTTATTTAATTATTTGAGAGGGAAAAGTCTTCTTCAGAAGGACCAACCATTGCCACTCCTCAAGTGGGCGTAAAACCTCTTCTTTTCGTATCAACAGATAACATTAAATCTTACAGATACATAGGCCATTTCAGGCCTATTAAGCACAACTCGCACTTAGTCTTTCTTAATCTAGCGCAGTTTAGCACCAAACGGAATGTTATTATTACTGATGGCTTCCAAATTTATTTACCTTTCCGTATGTACTTTAAGATTTGATAAAGAGAAACCAATCGTTGAGATAGTGTCAAAAGTCTAACACTCCCCCTTATTCTGCGAGTCACGTGACTCTCTCTCACCGGTGAGGTGACAATTGTCACCTCGTGTGAGGTGACTCTCCATGTAAATCAAATGGAGAGTCACCTCACACGAGGTGACTATTGTCACCTCACCGGTGAGAGAGAGTCACGTGACTCGCAGAATAGGGGGGACTGCTTCTTGACGCCAAACTCGGCCTACGGAAATGCCAATGAATTCACTTCGGCCTATAGGATGAAGATAAAACATGATTCGGTCGGAGCGCTTCTTTTATTTTTGGAAATAATAGGTGCAAACCTTCATATCACGCGTTCTCATTGACTTCGTTCCGTAGCTAAAAAACTAAAGTATCGTACCAAACGCATAATTGACTTGTTAACTCTGAAACCATGGATTTTTTTGAAGTTTTCTGCTCGATAGACCCAAAAGGGGTGATTAGACCTAAGTAGTTCTCTACCCTATATGCTTAAACTAATTCAGAAAACATTCATATTTAATTAATCAGGATGATAAAACATTATAGAATAAATACTTAAGGCTAGCACGGGAAGCATTGAAGTCAAAAAAGTTATAACATCTTTTTAAAATTAAGCTAATAATTGGTTAATTTGCACCCGAGAAGTCGCGATAGTAATGAAAGAGTGGGTTCGCAAATTTACTCGTCTTATAGGGTGTCCCAGAATGTCTAAGCATGGTTTGAAAAAACGATAACGTAACTCTGTTTACAGCAATTTCGATTTTTATTTCGTATTCATGTTCTCTATAGTATTCTCTTACAGTTAAACGTATAAGATCCGAGATCCGATCAGTTGTGGTCCAATGAGCGGATTTTTGATCTCACGCTACTCATTAGCTGCAGTATAGATGCCTTTTTCAAACAATTTTGGATACTTTTTCTCAGTCTTTCGCAAACTTTGTAACGGAATCCACTGCCTTTACATGTTTCTGCAAATATGCTTTGGTCAGGGCCCAAAAAGTTTCAATTGGCCTGGCCTGGCCTGGGGACAGTTTGGCGGATTCATCTCCTTGGGTACGTATTGGACCTTGTTGCCTTTATACCAGACTACCGTGTCCTTGGAGTAATGAACCGACACCAAATCCAGTCAATACAGTACAGAGGCGTCGTGTTTGCGGATCATGGGTAACAGACGCTTCTTAAAACACTCACGGACGTAAACATCGGTTGTCATTGTCTCCGTTGTCACAAACGGTTTGGAAAGCATACCACACTTACAAATGGCTTGCCATAGCCATTTTACCGAATTTTACCAGCAAGAGGTTTGTAATCAAATTTAACCTATGATTCATCGTCCATAATCACGCAAACCGATTTTCCGCACAGCAATTGGTCGTATTCTTTTTGACTCCGCTTTGGTTTCTTCCGCTTCTTAAATGTCTTGAGACCCATTCTTGCCTTGGCCCGCTGGACGTTACTTTTCGAGGATCCCACGAACCGAAGCACTTTTCTTGCGGGTGAAAGCTTGCACGATTTTCCAGTACAGATTTCGGTTCACAGGGCTCGGTTTACGTCCATATATTTGCTTATTCTGGAAAGTTGCTTCATCACGTTTCGAACGGTTCCGATGCCTACACCTTCCAATTTCACTAATTGATTCAGAGAAATGTTGGGGATAGTACACCATATGTGCACGATCCGTTTGCGCTTTTCCGGAGAAATGCTTCGCATTGTCCCGGAAATGTAAAGAACCGACACTTACGATACACGAAACTGTTTAAACGTCACCTGAAACAAGCAGGGGTGTTCCAAAGTCGTGCTTAGACATTCTGGGACACCTTATATGTTAATGTTAAGCTGTTGCAAAAGTGGATTACAGTCAATGCCCGAACGGAGCAGATTATCGATGAAGACAGCCTTAGGGACGTCATGGCGGTCACTGAGAAGTTATAGTCTCAACAAGTTACATCGCCTTTCATAATCAGTGAGGTTTACAGGGTCTCTCCAGGGTAGCAAACGAAGGGCAAAGCGAACAAATCTCCTCTGAATAGACTTGATTCATGGTATTGTTGTAAAACGGCGCCCAAACTAATGAACAGTATTCCAGTGTCGAACGGACTAGTGAGCAATATAGCGTTTTCAAGCACGAAATGTCACTGAAATCTTTAGCAAAGTGAAAAATAAAGCCAATCTGAAAAGATGCTTTACTGGCTACATATGACACACGCCCCTTGAAGGTTAGTTGACAATCTAACATGACTCCTAAGTCTTTGACTATAGTCTCTCGATTCAGTGTCTGACCATGAAGGCTGTATGTGAAGCGGGTGGGTGAATTTTTTTCTGCAGTAAGTGGTAATGGAACATTTGGAAGCATTCAATACCATCCTATTCTTGTGACAACAAGCAGCAAAAAGTTCAGCTGTTGTTGTAGGAAAACTGAACCACTACACTGAACCTTGACGTCATCCTTGGTTAGAATGATTATTCACTTACCCAAGCCCTATACCACTTATCAGATGATATCGAGATGATGGTCTTTCGATCAATTCGGATACTTGTCATCTTAATATTGGATGATTGTAGCTAATTTTTTTTAAGCTAACGTAGACGTAAATCAAACGAAAAATAATTTAATAGTGAAATACTTTTCATATTTCTCTTTCTTGAATGATTATTGATCTCGAATGATTTTTCGAAAAATCAGATGAAAATCGGTAGTAATATTAATTTTAAATATTTATATTTATATTTATTTGCAAAAAAAAAGACAAATGGACTTTCTGGGCAGAATGACATTATAGCAGGGGACGCATGGTGAAATCTAGTGCTGAATGATGGTCGTCGTTATTTTTTTATTCCAGAGGTTGTTGACTACTCTGAAATTTGCTGATTTCGCTTCTCTGGAGATGAGTTCATTACATGCAATTGATCATAAGAAGTAAAATAAAAAAAAAACTTCAAAAAGTAAATGTTCACACTTTGTTTTCTGATTTGGGGAGTAACTTATCTTCGGAATTATCTGCTTCAACAAAACTAATGATGTTATTGTTTCTGCCCGAAATCCTTATCTGAAATGCAACACACATGATTTAGCAAAATGTTGACACAGCAAATTAGTATTTTTACATACCAACACGTCTACAATATACAGTGTCTATAGTCTACAACATTGAATTTAATTTCCACTTTACTCTGCGACTTCTATCAAAGTTTCACGTACCGCGTGTTTAACCATGTTTCTTTCGAATGTTAGAATTCGAGCGATTATATGACATATTTATCGAAAGATTTTAGTCATGGTGCATCAGCAAAATAAATTTCTTCTGTTTTGAGCTGAAAACTGTCCATTACACCAAGCATATGCACTGTAAATGGTTCACATACGAAACATATGTTAATATTCATTCGTCAATTAAAAGTAATACACACGTCCTTGTGCATAAAATCATACAAATGGTTTTGTCGTTCAAAATTTGGAAACAATGGAATCTGTATTCAACTGAATGCGAATTCATTCTACAACATGGTAGGTTCAGCGATACGATCCTTCACGACAAAATACAGTTTAGAATTATCCGCATAAGATAGATTCAGACACCTTATTGAAAAGTGAATGTCATTCAAATACAGCAGAAATACAAATAAGCCAAGGTGACTACCTTGTGGTACACCAGAAGACATCGGAAACGACTGAGAAATAGGGTCACATATTTTCACTGACATTTGACGACCGGTGAGGCAAGAAGGCGACAATGGAAGCCTAATCAACTTGTTCGCCTTTTTCAAGCTCGAGAATTATAAAAGATGTGTGTTGCACGAGATTTGATGCAGTGGACCTCTTCTGCATAAATCCATGTTGTTCGGAAGCAACGTAACTGGAACAACCAGGTTTAAAATAATCCAAAACCACAGACAAACAGACATAACACTCGCAAGTTGTTCATCGAACAAGCATATAACGGTAAATTTAAAAGTATCGTAGTTGGTAGTACCGCCACCTGTGGCGCGCATAGTCAATTCCCTTGCGTTTGACGTTTATCCACTACCGCCATCTGTTCAGCGTACTACCCACCACAGTGTACTCAACAGATGGCGGTAATGTTTTAGCGACGATGTTTTACAGTGAGAAATATTCAATATGTTATGTCTGTTTGTCTGTGCCAAAACTATCAGTTCAAAAAGTTTTGAAACTGCACACAAAGCCGCAATGCCTCGATAGTTGATTACTGACTGCTTATCGCCTTTCTTGTAGACAGGGAAAACAAATGAATTCTTCCAGCCCTGAATTTAACGAGTGGTTGAATTTGCATTCAGAACTCCTACCTATACAATTTTTAATCACCACGTCATCTCTCGATAAAGGTGGATGAGATTCAACAGCTGAACTGAACGTATGGGAACCTCACTTGCAGCATTTGAAACGCGTGTTCGTCAGATAGC